ATCAAAGATGAAGTTTTACCAGATTGTTTTGCCACTACATAACAAGGTGTTCATTTTCTCATTCCCCAGTATCAGATCCTTATCTTTTTCATCCTGGCTGTTCCAAATATTTTATGTCTTGTTATGACAGTTATCTATTTTTATGACAATTTCTATATTAGCAAAATAATGCTGAGTATAACAAACAAGCTTTTAAGTATTATGGTCTTAGCAAGATAAACATTTATATATTATTCACACAGAATACAGAGAGTTATTGATTCGCACTGGTGAGGTAGTAGCTTGACACTTTCCTCTACACAGTTATTTAAAGACCTAGTCTCTGCTACCTTCAACTCCTGACTTCCAAAATTGTCCTGGGCATCAATACCCACATAGGCAAAGAGAAAGATAGAATAGAGACTTTTGGTGGAACAGCTCCAATAGATTTCAGGGTCAGAAAGCAGCAACTTGGTCATGCCTATTTGCCTAGTAAAAAGGCAAACACATGTCCAGGAGAAAAAAAATTGGATTTGGGGAAGAGCTAAGCTTTCTGCTCTGTGCTGTACACTATATTTTTTTGGAAAATTATAGTCCTTTAGTTAACCTATTAATTTTACCATGCACTTTTTTTACCATGCATTTTTTTTACCACTCATTCTTAAAGTCTAGAGTTAATATCTTATCTGTCCTCCCCAAAGGAAAAGAACTTTAGAACATACTACCTCTCTACTCTTTTTTAATTACATGTTCTTTCTGATCAATATAAAATTCCACAGAAGGTTTATTTTGACAAAAGTTAGTTAAAAAAATGGAAAACACTAAAATAATTGAATTACACAATTTAATTAAAAATGCATAAAAGCTAGTTTTTAACTTTTACCATAAATAAAATATAACTTTTTATAGACATGTAACTTACAATAATTCATCCTATATTTAGCTACAAAGATTGCCTCAACAGTTTCAAAAAACAGAAATGGTACAAGTCACTCTTTTTACATATCAAAACATGGCATATGGCTATGTCTGATATCAAAGGAAAAGGCAGTTTCATATGCTTTTATTATTAACCATAAATAATAACTATATTGATTATTCAGCTCAAGAAGTTAGAAGTACAATATAAATGTGCTGATCAAGAAAGAGCAATAAGTAAATAAAAAAGTGGAAACTCCTGAATTCAAGCAAAAAGTTAAAAAACTCAAAATCCTTATTTTAAAGACCAATAAAATAAACGAACTTTGAAAAAGCTAATTATTTAAAATCATTATATCTAACATTTATTGGGTGCTTACTATTTGCAACATATTTGCTAAGTAATTTACAAGAGCATAGCTCACTTAATGCTCAAAATAATATTATGACAATCATTATTTCATAAACATCTATTTAGTACTATGTGCCCAGCACTCTATGAGACACTGTAAACATAATGATGAACAAGAGAAATAATGCCACTGCCCTCAAGATCTTTGCATTCTGAAGGAGCAAATAAATATGTCGATTTTACAGATGGAGAAATTAGATTCATTAACTTAGATAACTTTCCAAAGATCACATAGCATCTTTGTGTTCCAATTGTATTTTAATCTAAATTGCATTCCCCAAATTCCATGCTCCTAATCAACACACAAAGCTGAAAGACCTGCCGGTAGGGGTGAGGGTGAGGGGTGGGGAGTAAACAGGTACTACTAAAATTATGAAGGTGATCCAAGCATCATCATAAAATTGCAAATATGCTTTTTGCCTGCTTGCTCTGAGCCAAATACTTTATTTTTTATTTTTTTAATAATAAATTTATTTTTATTGGTGTTCATTTTGCCAACATACAGAATAACGCCCAGTTGAGCCAAGTACTTTAAACAATGTTCACAAATACTTTGAAATAGGTCATATTATTTCCACCATATTTTACATTTGAGGGAACTAAAGAAATAAGATATTAAATAACATGTAGTTGCAGAGCTTTTTTATCTCCAAGAAGTCTGCCACTCATGACTGAGGAATTTTTAATAATTTTAAAAATTAATTATTCAGCTTACTGCTAAAATACTGAAATTATGAGTGAAATACTTGATTTCCTAGGAAAACATGATTGCTTAAATTGACACAAGCAGAACAAAATTAAGGAAAACTAGGAGAAACTAAAAACATTATCAAAAAAACTGTCACTAGGGCTCCTGGGTGGCTCAGTGGTTGAGCATCTGCATTGGGCTGCGGGTGGCAATCCCAGGGTCCTGGGTTGGAGTCCCACCTCAGGCTCCCCACCAGAAGCCTGCATCTCCTTCTGCCTGTCTCTGCATCTCTCTATGTGTCTCTCATGAATGAATGAATGAATGAATGAATGAATGAATGAATGAATGAATAATAAATAAATAAATAAATAAATAAATAATAAATAAATAAAAGAAATCTTTACAAAAAGAAAACAAGCTGCCACTAATGATTGCAGACCCAGGTGATTTTTTTTGAAAATCCTATCAGTATCCTAAGGAACATATAATCTGCCTATTATTTAAGCTACAGAAAGAGAGGAATACTTTTGGCATGTTCACTAAGCTATCATCCATCATTATGATACCAAATCTGTCAGAAATAGCTAGTAAACAAACCAACCACTAACTCACTAATGAGAAAGCACACACAAACCAATAAACCCAATAAACTGGAAATAATCTCACCATTGAATGTAGATGCAAAAAATCCTAATTAAAATCACATATTAATTTTAATACATATTAAAAGAATGATATGCCATTCCAATGCAAATATTCCAAAATGCAAGGTTCAATCCTCTTGGATGTTGGATATATGTATCTACCTAAACAAACAGGAAGAGCTATCAACTCTAATCCAGAAATTTCAATTCTATGCTTTATTGCTAAGGAACAATAAACAAATTTTTCAAAATACACAAGATATTTATCGTTGTTTATAATAGTGAATATTGCTATCCCTTCTATAAGAAAAAAATAGTGTAAAAAAATCTTACACTTAGCAATTATTATCCATGGTAAAATGTTATGAGATGTGTTATAAAAAAATATACAAAGCACTTTGTTATTTAAAAAGAAAAGAAAAATCCCTGCAGACTACACAAATAAGGAAGGACTTTGCTAAAGAGTAGGCATTAACGATGGGCCTCAAAGGATTAGTAGGATTTGAACAGATATAATTGGAAACACAGAGAGATGTGTTCTGGGTCAGGAGATACAAAAGGAAGTAGTGAGAAATCAAACTGAGAAAGTAGACTGGGTCTAAGTCATAAAGTACATTAAATATAAACAGTAATAAATAAATCAGTGGAACAGAATTGAGAAGCCTGAAACAAATTCAAGTGCATGAGATCAATTATATGACAGACAAGATACCAAATGTTGTAAAGAAAAAGCAAAAAAACAAAGAAAACTAACAAAATATGGCCAGAAATAATGTGAACAATATGAACACAAATTTAGGTTTACAGATAATTTTTTAAACAAACAAAAATTTAGAAGTTGTGAAGGAAACTATAGATATATTTGTTTCTCCCAAAAATGTTCATAAAAATATATCAGAGAGGGGATCCCTGGGTGGCTCAGCGGTTTAGCACCTGCCTTTGGCCCAGGGCGCGATCCTGGAGTCCCGGGATCGAGTCCCACGTTGGGCTCCCTGCATGGAGCCTGCTTCTCCCTCCGCCTGTGTCTCTCTCTGTCTCTCTCTGTCTCTCTCTCTCTCTCTCTCCCTCTCTCTCTCTGTCTATCATGAATAAATAAATAAAATATTATATATATATATATATATATATATCAGAGAGGCCATCATCAACTAAGAATACACTAAGGGAGAATTTTTCTGAGAAGCAAAGTCTTGATGGCTCTAATATACAAAGAACTCTAAAAAATACATTTTTAAAATTACAAATAGACAAATAGAAAAATTAAGGAAAAAAATAGGAAAATAATTTAAGCAAACAGTTCAAAGAAAAGCAGTGTAAATAGCCAGTAAAAGTCTAAAAAAAGTTCAATCTTCTTTGAGTTCAGAGAAATATTAATTAAAGTAGCCACAAAATGTCATTTTTACTTTTCAGTATTGACAAAAATTAAACAGATTGAGCACGTAAAATGGTTGCAAGGATATGGGGAAACAGATTCATTTATTACTGGTAGATATGAAAACTGCTACTATATTATTGAAATACAATCTGGCAATACTTATTAAAATGAAAAATATTCATGCCCTTTGATCCATCAATTTCACTTTTGTGGATGTCTGCTGCAGGAAATAAAAGCAATAGTAAGTGATGTATGTGCAAGGTTCTTTATAGCAATATCATTTCTTAGTGGTAAAAAAAGTAAAGAAAAAATAAAAAACCTGGTACTACACTTAATGCCTAACTATAGGGGATGGTTGATTAAATTCTGATACATCTATATAATGGAATGTTATGCAGCTATTAGCTAGAATAACTCAGGATCTTGAATTTGATTTTTTAGTTATAAAATATCAAGTATACAACTTATGTTTTTTAAACAAAACAAAAATAACAAAAATATATGGGCACATATACATCATAAAGACAGTGTGAGTTTACATGCAATCTATATTTGTTGTTGCAAAAAGAACATATTTGTGGAGGTGGGGATAAAAAGGGTTCTTAGTTCATTTATTTAGTTCATGAGTCTTTTGTGTAATGTCCTGGAATAATTATACATTACTTTTGTAATTTCACCAAATTACTTTGCCATTCATGCAATTTAAAAAGTTTTTAAAATAAAGTGTGATGTATTAAAATGTACAAAATATTGTCTCTGAATTGCTTTACTGATATATGAAAGAAAAGGAAACTATTTTCCCTGAATGTAACTACTTACCAGACAATTCACATGGAAAGTGAAGTATATCAACCAGCACGTGGTCCCTAATTGTGATTACACTTTATTGTGCTCAGCCTATTAAGTGCTTAAATTACCAGATAATAGAATCTATGTTCCTAATAGCAGAAAGCGTATTAACGGTATTTTTGCTCCTTATTGTAGCCCAGTTCCAACAATCACATGGATGAAGGTTAATGGTTATATTCCTAGTAAGGCACGTCTGCGGAAATCTCAGGCAGTGCTGGAAATCCCGAACGTGCAACTGGATGATGCAGGCCTGTATGAGTGCAGAGCTGAAAACTCACGTGGAAAAAATTCCTTTCGTGGACAATTACAAGTATACAGTAAGTGTTCTCAGCAAAGCATAATGCCCTAGTCCCGAGTCAAACTGAAAATGCAAATTAATTTGAACTGAATATTGTTTCTAAGTAGTACATAAAAACCAAGTAATAATTTATAATCATACTTCTTTTGCATAGTAAAACATCATGTAAAATTATCCTATACACAGAAATGCTTTAAATTAAAAATGAATGGGGAATTATCAGGTTCTTTGTACAGCAGAGAGTTGATATACTTAAAAATGAGATGTTTTCCTGGAATGAAAGCCATTCTCTGATAAGTCAAATATCTTGTAACCTTCATTAATTTATTCTCACCTTTGGCCTGAGTCAGGAGTTACATGAACCAAATCCTGCCCAGCAGTCACTTTTTTTGTAAATAAAATTTATTGGAACACAGCCACACCCACTTTTTTACATATTGCCTATGCCAGCTACTGCACTGAAATGCAGAATGAAGTAGCTGAGACAGAATTAAGTGGATGATTTGCAAAGCCTGAAATATTTGCTATTTGGTCCTTTATAGAAAAAAAATTGCTGACCCCTGGCCTAAATTAATACATCTATATGATAAATAACCTCTACAGCACACAAACATTTATGTTGTCCAAAATTCCAAGGAGCCAAAAAAATTGTGTGTAAGAATTGGGAAAATCTACTTGGGAAAATATCTACTATCTCATCTTTACTTCTAAGGATCATAAATTGTATCTACTTTTCACATTTGTTTATAAGATATATATTAGGCATAATAGGCAAGTGATAGCATTCTTATTTCCTAGATGGGGATACTCAAAAAAAGAAGAAGAAGAAGAAGAAGAGAAATACTATGATCAGAGCATTCATATAAGAAAATTCAGATTCTTTCAATATCAAGTTATCCAAATTGCATATTTGGTTAAATCCACCAACAACTACAACTGTCACTGTATCTCAAGATCAGCTCTCCTAAAAAGCCTAACATCCTTCAAAGGAACCCTTAAAGCATAGTTTGAAATATTAATATCTGAATTCAGCTTGTTTTTTCTTTCCTTATCTCTAATAACTCCTTTAGGATTTCAGCCATCCAGCCTTACTGAATATACCATGCACATTTCATTCATGCATTTATTCAATTAATGTGTATTAAGTGCCTATTATTGCTCTATATAATAGCAGTAGAGCTTTCAAGGAAGTCCTGGTCCATTGGATTAGATGACAAACCCCACCTTAGAGTAGAGCATGCTGTCTGCTGCGATAAAAGAATGTGCAAAAGATTATGGGAACATAGTCTATTGCATTCTACTGGGATGATTCAGGGAAAGCTTTCCAAAGGATTTCCTCAAACCTTTCTCTAAAGGCTACACAGGGGAAAATATTCTGAGAAAAAGACTCAAAGTCGTTTAGAAGTTTGTAAGATTGAAATACTACACTGGTTTGTTTATTTTAGGCCATGGGTATTATAGTTTGATGAAACTCACAAACTGTTCATGATTTCTTATTATCATTAACCCATAGGAAAAAATCATTGCTTCTGCACCCCAGTGAACAACAATTAACATTCAGATCATATGTTTGATTTGACTTGAATCATATCGGTAACATTCCTATCATATCCGTTTATCCTCAAAAGTCTGAAATGATACTAGTTTCTCTATAGATAAAAAGCTGATACTGAAAGACAAATGTTCCACCAGAACAAAAAAAAAAAAAAAAAAAAAAAAACAACAGAAGGACTGCCTGTTACTTGTAAGGCTATTTGGGAAAAGTTCCAAATCTTTCTGTGAGGTGAAAAATGGCCCACCCCTAAATTATAATTAGATTTATAGTTTGAGACAGAAGCTCCTATATGACACTACTCTACTTTTACTTCTCCCCATTCCAGCTACATGATTCATAGCAGTAATGATTATTTCCAAGAAAATAGGGAAAAAAAACTGATATCACTCAATATTACTGATTTACTTTAAGAGAGTATGCTACTAAGAAGTAAGTGTGGGATCTCCTTGTCACACACAATTAGATGTACACAGTAGGCCAACCAGGAAGGACAAACCTGCCCAAAGCATGCATCATTTTGGATATAAAATAATCAAGATTGTAGACTAGAAAAAGAAACTGCCAGCTTGCCACTCTGCTATATATTTCGGACAATTCGGGAAAGTATCTGAAAGAATTTGGCCTTTCATTACAGCCCATTTTTTAGGGTAGTTTTCTACTCTGCTCCTGATCTTGCCTGGATGGTCCCAGTTTATGTCTTTAGCACTGAGACAATTACAACAAGACCTATTTCACTTCCAGAAGTATCTTGATTATTACAAATCTACCCAATTTGTACTTTTAAACCTGTTGCCTTTGACATGATGGCCTTTCTCCTTACCCATCAAACTCTGTAGAAAGTAGAAAGAATCTTGGCTAGCATTTCCACTTGGCAGTTAATAAAGAGCATAATGCATGAATATTGTACTGTATACACAGTTTGTATTTGGAATGTTCTCCTTTCAGAAGAATGGATTTCTGTTGGATGATCTATAGCCTGAGCTCCACATATTGGTATAAGTAGAGGCTGACACTTTTTACTCAAATGATCAATATTCACAGAGTACTGAAAACATAAGGTTTTTCCTGTGGCTCACATTCTTCTGTAAAGAGTAATTATGGGAATATTTTACATGTTCAGTTAGATGTTAGATTCAATGGATGAACCAAGGATCTAAGGCAACCTTTCTAGTCTCATATTTTTTTTTGTCAAATCATTACAAAGTATGTAGTAATATAGGTGGTAGGCATAAATTTAAACCACATATTTTATTATTTATAATTCAGAATCTACATTATAAACATAACACAACAAAGAACACAACATAAAGCAGTCCATGGTAGTAAAATAATAAAAATTAAGATAAACTTATATATCTCATTTAACCAATACATTTAAATAACAATATTCATAAAAAAGAAAAAAAATTTAAACCAAAAGTAATTTTAGGGGCACCTGGGTGGCTCAGTTGGTTAAAACTCCAACTCTTGATTTCAGCTCAGATCGTGATCTCAGGATCCAGAGATTGAGCCCCAAGATATGGGGCTCCACACTCAGGAGGATGTCTGCTTCTCTCTCTCTCTCTCTTTCCCTTCCTCTGCCCCTCACCCTCATGTGGCTGGTTCACATGTTCTCTTGTTCTCACTTAAATAAATAATAAATAATAAATAATAAATAAATAAATAAATAATTTTTTTAAAAACTCTGAATTTTATTAATAATTGAAACTTTAAAAAGTTTTAAAAACTTTTTAAAAACTGCATATTTATTCTATTAAGTAAATAGTCTTTTGTTTATAATATATGGTAGTTTTATAGATGAAATAATTTCTTTGATTATTTCTGTCCCTTCTAGTTTCTGATGATTAATCAAAGACTTCATTTTATCTAGCCACACAAAATTTTTAGTCTGTATATTTCCAATATAAATGAAAAGAAAGACTAAAAAAATATAAGGAATAAAGAAATAAGGAAGAAAGAAGGAAAAAAGAAAGGAATGAAGATCACACAATTTTAAGCAATTTTATATATAAGGACCTCTCAAGAAGGTACTTTGTGTACAGAAAAATATTACATAAAGCTGTGTTATCTATGAGTTTAAATATATGTCATATGCCACACCAACTAAAATTTGTTATCCTGTAGAGTAAGAATACTGTCACTCTGATCACTGAAATATTTATATTGACAATGTAGATGAGAAATATATCAGTATTAAAATATAGCAGCCATGTCCACAATAGCCAAACTGTGGAAGGAGCCTCGGTGTCCATCGAAAGATGAATGGATAAAGAAGCTGTGGTCTATGTATACAATGGAATATTCCTCCATTAGAGGAATATTAGCCATTAGAAATGACAAATACCCACCATTTGCTTCGACGTGGATGGAACTGGAGGGTATTATGCTGAGTGAAATGAGTCAATCGGAGAAGGACAAACATTACATGTTCTCATTCATTTGGGGGAATATAAATAATAGTGAAAGGGAATAGAAGGGAAGGGAGAAGAAATGGGTAGGAAATATCAGAAAGGGAGACAGAACATAAAGACTCCTAACTCTGGAAAACGAACTAGGGGTGGTGGAAGGGGAGGAGGGCAGGGGGTGGGGGTGAATGGGTGACGGGCACTGAGGGGGGCACTTGACGGGATGAGCACTGGGTGTTATTCTGTATGTTGGCAAATTGAACACCAATAAAAAATAAATTTATTATTTAAAAAAAATAAAAAATACCTATAACCAAGATGCTTAAAAGAAATTAACGTTGCATTATACTAAATATCCAATAAGGAACATAGTTTTATTTTCATTGCAATGTAGTGTTATAGATATTCTTATTTTTGTAAAATCTCTGGTGATTACCCTCACAAATTTTAATGCCTTCCAATGTCTGCAATTTGATTATAAATGCTTTTAATTGATTATAATAGCTTTTCCAAGACAAAGACTATTTTCTTTCCTATTTTTTCCATAACTAAGCATTATGTTTAGCACACAGTGGATAATTTTTATAATTGTCTGCTATAAGGATTAATGCTTAGATAGACACACCATTCTTCAAGGAACACAGTAAAGATTATATGTAAGTCAGGTAACCCACAGCACACTCTGTGATGCCAGCAGCACACAAGAGACACTGGGCCCCGCAAGCCTTTGGCCACCTCCAGGGAGTCTGAAGCCCCAGCCTCATGACAGATGCTACTCTGCTGGACTGACTGTTTTCTGTAGAGCTACTAGGAGGCTGGCCCTGGGCCATGGGTGGAATAAGAGAAGACAGGCCTGCTTCCCTGTGGGTGAATACAGAGGCCCTTGGCTGAAGAAAGCCTCATGCTGTCCTTGTCCACCTCTGACCCAGAATGTAATACTGTGCTTGGATATGTAGAGGACATTATCATGGATGACAGATGAGTTCTAATTATTTCAAATTTCATGAACAAGTACTACCAGGAGTTTAAAGACACAGGAAAGAATAAAATCACCTAAGT